GGGTTATAGAGCTAGCATGTTATTCTTTTGTATCTAAATACTTGTTATGGATTCATGTGTAGTATACAAATTTTGTAGAAAACGTTGTTAGATATTTTGTAATATATCTCTTGTAAAATATTGGGACCGAATATGTAAATTATATTTCTTCATCTGTGGAAATATATGTTTATATGCAAATGTGGTCTTGGAGTGTTACAATATATATGTGTACACACACACACACACACATATATATATATATATATATGTGTGTGTGTGTGTGTGTACGTATATACATGTATATATATGGACATGTTCTTTTGTTAACCCAATAATTAGTGCTTTTGTGAACACAATCTTGGCTCTTGATTCTTAAAATCTATGGATGAGATCATTTGTGACATATTTGTAGTTAATTAAAAATGAAGGATACCAAAACATAGGTGAATAGTGATATTTTTGGGAGAGATGTCCAAATCGGTTATAAATCGATTTCTAATTAATTACATCAGTTGCAAATCTGTAATTGCTCATTCCTTTTATAGTTCGTAGAATCATCCTTGTTGCATTATGAATACATATGAACATATATATAATTTATTAACTAATCTTAGTTCATGGCTTTCACATATTAACATATGGGAACAATTATGAACACTTATTTGCACCTATTAAAACGTATTAGCACTAAAGTAATTGGCTTTCACATGTGAACACAATAATATATTATCAAAGTGTTTCGCTTGTGAACACATATTCATCAAATTTTAGATGTATATAGATATTGTTTTATGAACACATTGAAACACATGTGAACAATATATACACCATATGAACATTGGCGACTACTTAGTTTATTGGCTTTCACATGTGGACACAACATTTCTTAATCATAAGATCTTAAATCTTCTTGTATTGTGATCTACTGGTTTCACCCATGTTTGTATATCTCAATTATGAATATTGATCGTGTGTATGTGTGTGTGTGTGGGGGGGGGGGGAGATAGATAGAGGGATGAGACCAGATTGACATACCATGATGGTTGTGGTTGAGGTAGGGGACGGGAAGGGGCGTCGGTGGTGTCAAAGTTCTTGACAGTGGTGTTGCATATCTGATTTCTTCATTAGGTAGGATTAGGAAAAAAGAAGCAAAATAACCATATTCGATGAAGAACCACGTTTGATGAAAAAGATGATATGGGAGTTGGCTATGAGCTGGATAAAGAAAAGGAAAACTTTTATGATTTAGGAATGCTAGAGAGAGAGATGTGTGAGAGAAGGTTTGATTATTTTTTAAAGATTTGATTACATAAAAAAGCTATAAAATTTACTAATTTACCCTTTGTTTTATTTTAGAAAATAACATTAATTATCTAAAATGATTGGCTCATATTAGACCCCAGAGTTATCACAAACTATCTAATTCTCATTTGATTAAGCCCTAATCAAATGAGAACTAATTAGTTTGTGGTAACTGTGAGATCCAACCGTGAGCTAATCATTTAAGATAATTAATATTTTTCTTAAAATAAAATAGAAAGGTAAATTAGTAATTTGGGTCAATTATTCAATTTACAAATAATTAGTTTAATATTCCAATTTACTTTAATTAGATTAATTACTTTATTATATATATTATACACACACACACACGGATAAACAGGGGACCAAAATCCGGTGACCTCCTTCGGCAAGTGATGACCTCCTCCGATCATCTTGTCTGACCAAGACGCCATTTCAAACGTCCTCATCAATCAGATCACCCTCCAACACCTTCCATCCGGTAGCACCCACCATCCAGAAGAACTCTCCACTCCGGTGCTCATCTCCATGCCATCCTTCTTCTCCAACCCAACCTCTAGATCTGCAACACACATACACATACTGTAGATATGCACATACAACACACACAGTGCACATTATAGACACACACACACACATATATATATATATATATACATATATACAACGTAGGTATCATAGTGGTACTACAGTTTTTATCACAATGGTACCACAATTGGTATCATAGTGATCTCGAAGTTTACTTGGTGTGTTTTGGTTATCACCTTGTATGTATTTTCGGTATCACATTGTATATCTTGGTGTATTTTGGGTATCACATGGTGTTCGCCGAAATAAGGTTTATCGGAAGCCGGAAACAGGAGAAAGAGACCAAGGAGAGATAAAAAAAATTTAAATACCTAAAATGCCCTTTAATTAAAAATTTAAGTCAAATTACTAAAAAAAATTATTTCCTAATTTATCCATTGATTTATGGTTGAGATTGGATCTCACAGTTACTACAAACTAACCAATTCTCCCTTGAATGGATCCCTGTGTGTATATGTGTATTTATGTGTGTATATATGTATATATGATTGTGTTCATGTGAGACCAACCTGTTTTCTTGAAACCCGTGAGATCACTTTTTTACACTTGAAATTTCATAGCAAACACTGTGAAGGTAAATAAAAAGTCGAACCTTACAGCAAAAACACTATGAAAGTTACCTTCAAGTGTAAAAAAATGGTCTAATGGTGTAACATCCTCCGTCCTCGTGGTCCGGAACGGACGGTGTCACTAACGTGACTTAATTCTAAGACACAAACATTGCAGAGCTACTAATAAACTCCAAACGTAGATTAACTTCTAAAACATGTTTTACAATCCAAAATATTACATTCTATCAACTATTTATAAGTTTAGAATATTATACATCTACCAACGAGTTTACCAACTCCAAAAAGTCAAACGCTCGATCTCAAGTCCCGTCCCTTATCAGAATCACTTGGAACCTGCCATGTCAGAAAACAAGAACACGACTGAGCACAGGGCTCAGTGAACAGATTGTATATAAACTTGAAATGATAATACGTAACATCGATAATAAAGCGGAAGACTTAAAAATCAATGAAACTGAATTCATAGAAAATCAAGACGTTTCACAATTCTCATTTCAAAACATCATTTAAACACAATCCGTCAATTCCTGTAGTGTTCGTGGGGTGGCCAAACCACACGAACTATCGGGCCGGCGTGCGGSYACACACCCCGAGTCCCCCGTGAATTTAACCAYGGTCACATGGTGGGTAATCCTAAGATCGATCCATCCGCCGTGGAGCCAATAAAATCGGCCTAGTCTACAAGGGGGGTTCACGTAAGCCACTATTGGGCCTAACCTTGTGGACCGAGTTCACCTACAGGACGCCATGACTACAAAGCCGCAATAGAAGGCATCCCAAATAATGCGCCCATTAATTGGGTTGATCTGAAAAACCAATAAAACTAAACATGTGCCACTACCCGAATGACGTTCATAAAAAGTCAACATTCAAAGTAGTTCATAAAACTCGAAACTACTTCAAAATATGACAATCAATTTAACAAAATTGAAAGATTCAAACATATAATTCAACGAACTGAAAATCAAGTGTTCACGATAAAGATTCAAGAGTTTACGATAAAGGTTCAAGAGTTTATATATATATATATATATATATATATATATATATATAAAATTTATAAGTACGTAATTTATTGACCACTTTTAAGYGATCAATCACAAAGTGGTGAACCACCGTTATGAAGGGTCAACTACAACAACTAGTTGCCCAAGAGTCAAAGAAAGTGAAATCCGTACCTTAAGTGGAATAGAGAAGTAAAGCACGATCAAACGAGATTCACGGTAAAGTTCGACTTGTTTGCGTGCCTAACGAATGCGCAAATCGATTATTACTTAAACGACGTAAAATCATATCTTAATTCTACTAATAAATTACTTAGGTCCTACATGTTCATAAACAACTTAAACTTCAAATATGACAGCCGGATACGCATTGAGAAATCGATTCAACACTTAGCTTTATATAAATCCGTTTCGAGTTTTAATAGTTTTTAACCCTCATTTTCGGGAGCATTTTTACCCTACTTAGAAATTAGTACATAAAATACTATCTAAATGAAAGATGTAGTATTATATGCGATGAAACTACTGGTTTTTGAATTACCTCATTTGGATTATCCATCTATTTTATACGAATATTTCAAATCAACAGATCAATCCTAAATACATTACAAACAGCCCCGAAAACACACTGTTTCGAGCAACTTAAATTCATAACTGGATTTTCGACCCTATATGAAAGTTGTATTATACATTAAGGGCTTTCTAAATGCAAAATATGAGTTTATTCCGACTTAAGGTTTGTAAGTTATACATTGTCAAAGTATGGACCTGCATAGTCGGTAAAATCCGATTCCGCAATTCCCGACTAACTTTTATAATCCAAATTCCATGATTCGCTACATTTATGTGCTATAAACATGTTTCAACATATTAAACCTTAAAACATGTCCAATGGTCGTTAACCTAAGCTTAATCATGTAATTTTACTCTTTTTGGCATTATATCGAACAATTGGTGTACCGTTAAACATATACACCAAATCTAACCATAATGAAACCATAATCTACCCTTTTAATTTATACATCAATTTTATCAATCCTAGCATTCTAAAAATGACTTATAACAATATCAATCCGTAAACTTAGATAGAACATTATTTATAAACCGGTGTAAAAAAATGCTAACATAAACACCCTAATAAAAGTGAATGAAATTTATACCTTTATGAAGGGTTCGAAGAGTGGATTCCGAATATATAATCGTTACTTCTATTGCTTCAACGATTTGAGAAATATCTTAGAGAGAAGAAAAAGTTTAGAAAGAGAAATGAGAGATGAGGCGGTTCAGAGATGAAGAAGTCGACGTTGGTTTCTTTTTCTTTAACTTTACATATATATATATATATAATATATATATATAATATATATATATATATATAATCATTAAGAGTTTTACAGTTTTAACCCTTAACAATTTCCGATCGTTCTTTTAAGTACGGTACAATTTCGGTAAGTTAACGAGAATGTGTTTTTAAAATTCGGGTCTTACAATTCTCCCCTCCTTAAAAGGAGATTTCGTCCCCGAAATCGAACTTAGAGATAGGGAACTTACATCAGTTTAAGAATTTTGGGTACTCTCGCCGCATATGTTCTTCAGTTTCCCACGTCGCCTCACGTTCCGAGTGATTCTTCCAAAGAACTTTTACAAAAGGAATCACTCTCTTTCGTGTACCTCTCTCATCGTGATCAAGAATTGTCTCAGGCTCCTCACGATAAGATAGATCATGCTCTATATGGTCCAAATGATATTCAATGACGTGTAGGGGATTATAGTTGTATCCTCGCAACGAAGAGACATGGAACACATTATGTACGTGGGACAATTGTGGCCATAGAGCTAACCTATAGGCCACAGCTCCAACCCTTCCCATAATTTCAAAAGGACCAATATATCTCGGGCTGAGCTTCCCTTTAAGACCAAAACGTCTAATACCACGAGTTGGTGAAACTTTCAAGAAGACTTTATCACCTGATTGGAACTCGATAGGTCGTCGTCGCTTGTCGGCGTAGCTCTTTTGACGAGCCTGAGCCTCTTTCATCATTTGACGTGCAATTTCGACCTTCTCGGTA